GCACTCATTTACTTCCCCTCAAATGAGACTGCTGTGCTTCTGTTAACTGTACATGTGACAAAGAACAAACCAGCACAGCCTTCAAAAACAGAAAAAAATTGTGTTTCTTTAACCTTTCTGTTTTGGATCCAATTTAGAATGGCGAGAGTGGGCAGCCCACACATCAGCTTTAATTTAGAATTAATTCAATGTGCGGAGTTTATGTATAACAAAGATTCCACTTACCTATAGTTTCTGGCCGGCCAGTTGATGTATGGGACTGCTCACAGCTCTGACTGAAACCAGGGGGTCACACTCTCATCAGGGAAGCATTCAGATCAGGACCGCATATCAGATCTCCAGCTCAGCCTGGCACATGATTACCGCTGTTGGTCCAGGATCATTGCTCAGGAAGATGGACCGGTCGTCTGCAGAGTTCAGCTGGCTCACGGGTCATGGCACCAAGTTGTAAGACCCCAGTCTAACCCTCCCTCCTCCCTTGTCTTTTTTTTTTCTTCCTCCTCTTCATGCCTTTCTCCACCTGCACTTTTGCCTCTCTCCTTTGCATTCTTCCCATTTTATTCCTCTACCCTGCCTGTCTTTTCTTGATTTTCTCATAATCTCTTCCTTCTCCCTTGATCTCTCTCAGTCTGTGATAGTCAAGAGCGTGGAAAGGAATGCAGTGAACATGTATGAAGCCCGAAAATTCCTCCTGGGTCTGGAAAACAACGGGGTGTCGTCATCCTCTTCCTCTGTGGTGTTGAATCCTACCACCAACGGCCCATCCCCATCCCTCATCTGCCCCGTTGGCTTGGACATCCTGGCCTCAGCTGGCCTGGGGCTGCGCAATCTGGGTAATGACACAGTTGAACTTGTTAATCTTTTACGTTTCCCATGATTGGGAAAAACACAATTTGGTGAGGAAAATAAGATCCTATCATTTTTTTTTTTTGTCTTACATGTGAAGCATTTCAGATTGAAAGTGTTTGTAGAGGAACTAATGTCCTCGTTCATCACTGTCATTTCCATCTGGACCATTCGCTCCAGGCAACACACTTAATGCAGATATCTCTGAAGATGTCCTCAAAGCCTGCCTCCTTTATCCTCTCTATGCGCGTTAGTGAAGCTCGCCCTGCGGTAACCACAATGTAATAAATTACAAATATGAACCAGTATCTAACACTCCCAGAGCACATTTTATGAAACGGACTGTATTTTGCAAATGAATTACCAACCTGTGACCGGCTGTGCCATTCCTGAGACACGCCTCGCTGACGCACTGCTCCGCTCGTTTTACGCATTATTTTGGCTCGCCCGAGAGTAATGTTGTCCTCCAATTATGAAATTTCTTCGGCTGCTTCAACATCAGAATCTTCTCTCGCCTAAAAATCATTTCCAGG